ATTGTTAAATATAGCGATAGGCATTCAATCAACATGTACGGATCTTGACCTAAGGTTTATGCATGTGAGGCGGGGCAGGTTTGTATAATAAAAAAATTTTAGCCACGTTATATTTTTTCTGTCAATATATAACAATGAAAGGTCAGAATAGCATACTCATACGTAAAGATAAATAAAATTGCTTCGAAAAGTGGCACATCTTTAGAGGTTGGAAGCATGGATGTAAAGTTTGTGACGAATGCAATCACCATTCACACCTATATTGCAAAACATGCAAAAAAGTAGTGAATGGAATACATAAGCGATGTGAATGTGCTAATGCTCAAATAATAAATCAGAGTTAACAACTTGGTAATAATATTGACGATAGTTCAAGCAGAATTATTGTTCAGGTATAAGTAATCGTTTTATCTTTTCATATAAATTCACTAATGTGTTAGAATAAATTCCGTATATGAAATTCCTTACAAGGCTTAACGTTATGCATAACTTATTTGTAAGATTGGAACGAGCTATTTTCATATTTCTGGAATTCCTCCTATAGGTTTGAAATTATTCATCTCGGGAAGGTTTTCTTGCAGAGCATAACCTTTCATGTGCCAGATAATTTGTTTCGGAAATTATGAAGATATGAAAGTCTGTAGTTAGTATGAAGAAAAAACATGGAGCAAGGACTCGCTTATATAAGAGCTAAAATAAAGGTTTCACTTATATTGGGCATGCAATCAATAAGCATATTTCTACTGTAGCTCGTTTTTCTAGCAATGCATTCATATCAGCCGAGTCAGCAAGTGATCGAGCGCGTGATACACACTCTTGTCGACTGATCATGAACCAGCAACTCTGAAAAGAGCTGGTGGGGTAACCGCAGTTCTTCAGAATGATCAGTCAGTGTACCACCTTCTATATAGCAAGCCATAGCAGGTGTCCTCCTTGAGAATAACCGCAGTTTTTGACCAACCCTGCACATGTCCTGGCATATAGGGTAAAAGTAATCTTCCTTGAAATTTGAAAGAACAAAACAAAATACAATTAGCAAAGGGTTTGCAAATTATGATTCTGTTTAGAAGAATATTAAATACTTACGAGAAATCAAAGAGAACTTGGCATGAAATATTAGGACGCGCTCACAATATAATTCTTGACAACCAAGCGTGAGCCACAACTTCAAGAGCTGAGGGATAACCGCAGTTCCTCTGAACGCTCAGTAATTATAATGTCTTCTGTAAGAGAATCTGGTCACAAACTGCCCTTCTGATGAAGAATAACCGCGGTTTTTGCCAATCTGAGCCAAACAACATCTCACAGGACTAAAGATGCTAGCCGAAACCCTTTAATAAGATACTCGTCAGAATTTAAGTATTTACTTTGTCGAAACTTAACGTTAAGTGCTTATTTTGGCATAATTTGTACCTGGTGATTGCGTCACATGATTTAATAATAGAACGCGTAGCTAACGATCTGATCTAAGATCATCTAGTATTAGAAAATGGCATCCCTACGCGTAGCTATAAAATTTTTTTTTTATCTGTTATGCAACCTTCGTTCCACGTCAAATATTTCTTTGTAAAAAATAACATTTGACTCGATAATGACCCCACAAGAGCGTGATTTTTTTATTAATAACGACAATCCAACACCAGTAGAGTTTTTTAAAAGGTTCAATTACACGTCGAAGCAAACAGCTGTTTCGAAATGGCACTCAGTTCTTAGCGCGCTCCTCAAAGTTTATCCAGACGAACCCAAATTTGTTGTTATCTACCAAAATTACATAAAGAATAAATATAAGCAAGCTATCGAAGATTATTTTAAATCATCGTCTGCTTCTATTCTTGACGAGGAAAAGGTTGGCCAAAAATAGGTTCAGTTGTATTATATCCAGCCCTAAAATTCTTTCGCACTTTACCAGGACTCTATTGATAGAGAGCTAACCAAGAAAACAGGAAAAGCGATTCGAAATCGCATCGATGATCTCCTTCCTAACGATCATGTAAATTCTAAAAAACCTCGCTTGACGGAATCTGTTAATAGTTCAATATTAATTTCGGCCGACTCAAAGATAAATAAAGTTGATCACATTACTGATTTGCCTAACGAAAGAGAGGGTAACACATTAGTTTTGTATTTGTCATATTTTAAACACAGATTTAATATGCATGTATAAAATAGATGAGTCTGAGCAATTCGACACACGTAATTTATTGACTAAGGTATTATTATTTTTGGTGCCAAAAAATCAAACAAATTGATGTACTAATCATCAACTGTTTAGAAGCGACATTCTTGGGAAAATGTTATTAAAGAGATCGATATAAGAAATGACTCTAAAAAGGATGTGAGTACAGTCTCGATGTGATTAATGTTTTGCCAGTATATTAAATAACAATACTCACGCACTTTTTCAGTGGATTATTGATAAATATAATCTCTCAACTGAATTTCGTAATTTTCAACTATCAACAATCCGAGAAATTGAAAAGATCCCTTTTCTGTCCTTTAAAACTGATCTTCATAAGATTCTGTAAGTATTATATGCTATCTGAATTACGACTATTTCACATTATGTTCATTAATACGTATATAATCAAATAGTTGCCTGTCCAACATAATGCTTATAGAGCAGACAAGGCCGTTGTATCTCACCTGCGTTGAAACAGTTTGGAGCCAAATATGCCAAAGACAAGTGCCTCCAAGTTTGCCAGATGTGGTCCAAAATATGATTTTGGAATATTCTAAAGTATATCTATTTTCAGATTTGGTTATAACACAGTTTTGTAAGTTAATCCCAAGCTTCCCTTTCCAAATTCTAGCTATTGAATGCATTCACACCAATAGTTGATATTCAGAAGACTTGGTGTAGAAATTTTTCAAAAGTTAACGAGTTGAGCAACCAAGATGACATAGAAAAATTTTGTGGAATTCAAATTATTTTACGTAATTTGTAGGTAATTAAAACCACCATAGTCGATGCAATACTGAATTAAACGAATATCTTCTTTTACAGTTTATTACTGAACCTCAAAGCCAATAATGACAACGAAGACACCTTCGTTCATGACATGTTGCACGATTTGCTAAAAGAAATCTTTCGCGATCCAATTTTTGAGTTGATCTGGTGAGGGTTTAAGTTTGAGCTTGCTGTATGGTTGGTTAAATCATATAATCCAATGCCTGGTTTAAATAAAAGGGCCAACAGTGAAAGCGCTTCGTCAAAAAATCGACGTCGTAACAATAAAGAAAATTCGCGAGGTAAAAAACCGGATTTTAAGCTCCTAGTGAATACAAATGATGAGATTCTCTTTGGCGAAGTCAAATCACCAAAATATAAAAATCTATCTTCATTGGTTTGTCAAGATTTTGTCAAGCTTGCAAATTTTCAATCCGGTACTTTGGATGAGTTAGTTAAAAAGTATGGAAATAGGATTGGAATGACATCTTTCGGAGTGTTGATTTGTGGCAAGTGCACGGGCTTGGTTTGATTTTAGAATTCTTATACATTTGCTAATACTTGATTGCGTTTATAGGAGTGCAAATCCGAATTTATCAAATGGACTTAGAATATGATGGGTTGTACAGGATGTATCTGGTCGCAGACGTAGTTTTACCCACTCAAAAATCCCAATTCATAAGTCTGGTGCCAATATTGGAGGCATTGTACAATGTAAAAGTAAGTGATCATTGATAAGATTTTAAAAATGTTTTTTATTATCTCAATGAGATGTAACTCACTACTTATGTAATTTGAAGGATTCCGTTTCTAAAGTTTTGGAGGTAATTACCTCAGACACTTCGCCTATTTTATCTCGCTCCGATTATTGCAGATTACCCCCACCCTCACCGGAATTTGTCCAAGTTTCGGTTGTAATTTCTAACGAAAGATAGATTTCAATCTAAACTGATTACGTAATACATACCTGGATGTAGCACATTCTGAAAATGTAAAAAATAAAGCTTTATTGTGATAAATTACTACGTACAACGACCCAAGTTATATATGACATGTTATGTATCTGACATATTTAATTGGTTAAATATTATGTGTTGGAAATTTTTTCAGTATAAAAGCGAATTTTTAGGATTACGGAACATAATTTTCGAAGAGTTTTACTAAAGCTAACGTTATTAATTTGTTTCTTGGCACTGTATGTCTTGTATAAGTGTTAATTGTGTTTGTATAGATACGTGACTTTTGTCATTGAAGAAAAATACCCGTAACATTGAATCTCAATACATCGTAAGCAAACAGATATAATAATTAAATTTCGAATTTTTGAGACTAATTCTCATGCTAAAGGTAGCTCCACGAAGCTTATTAATATGGGACCGTAAATTACATTGCGGCATACTAAAGGATGGTTTAAATACTACATAGATTGATGAATATTATGAAAGAATGGGAAAAAAATCCATACTCAACTTATACAAATTTTTAATTAGGCATAATCAGGTACAAATACCCTACTTCGTAGAAAAATAATTCACACGCTGCGTTAAAATAAAAAATGGCGAGGCCACAGGATCCCCTCTTTATTTATAAAAATTGTTGCCAGAAAGATAACATACAAATACATCGTAGCTAAATAATACAAATACGAATAAAAAATCAATTCCCCTTGTATCCGTAATATCTTCTCACTTTTAAACGTGTTATTGGATTGATACCCATAATATCGGAAGATCAATAATCAAACCTACACCGGATAGCTTTTTTTGATCGCTTTCTGGATTGGAGCCATTAGTCGTGAAGGTGTTATTATCATTGTTATTGGGGCGTTATCATCATCAGCTTTGGGGGGTACTATCGTTGGTCTTGGGAGTGGTTTTTTTATTACTACTCATTTTCGTTCCTAAATTTAAAAAATCATAGTAAGTAAAAATTCGGTTTCATAGTATTCGTTAAACGAAATAGCAAATTATTTAAAAAAAATACGGGCAAGTGAACCAAGTAAAAATATATATGAGCAAAAAATAACGTTATTGCTAACTTATTTTAATTACCGTCAATTCGTTAGATCTAAAAACCTACCAGAAAAAAAGTTACATGATTAGTAATTGTGTTAGGATAACGCAAACTAGATCCCACCATGTAAAGCAAGTCTATTCGGTTATAAGTTCCAAACACCGAATCTATTTTATTATTTTTCTGGTGAAATTAAACCCCTTATAATCGTCGATCGCTTAAGGTAGGTTTAGATCTGACGATCTCGGGAGATGGCGGAGATTCCAGAAGCGAAGCTTCCTCACTCCGTGAGAGTTCCCGCAACATATGATTTTTGATAAAACTACTGATAAAGAACGTTATACTCATTACCCTCATAGCTTTTTTAAGTCCCATTCGTGTGTTTTCTTATCGCGGGATCATATACAAGGTAAAGAAAGGGTCTAGTTATTCATAAAATTAATAGTTAAAAAATCGACATTGGAAAAGTAATTATGCATTAAGGTAGCACCGCATAAAATTTAATGCCGGCCATTGATTATTAAAGCCGGTCAAGGCTTTATCACTCATTCGAACTGATAAATTCGAATATCAAGTGATCGTACGACCTAGGCCAAGCCACTGTTGAATAAATCTATGTAAAATCGCTAAGCCACTGTTGAAGTAACAGATCGAATTTTTGCGTAATCTTATTTGACGCATGTGTTAAAATAAAGCCAGATATATGTTTACAGGTATGATATTTCT